TTAGGTCTATATTATGTGCCAAACACTTTGTTCTTTAGAGATGTTATCTCATTTAATCCTCACAAAAAGCCTATGATATCAGTTCTGTTATTATTAGGTCAACCAACCACCAGTTTGCCTGGGACTGAGGCAGGAGAGTTTCTCTGGGATGTATGTCTTTCCATGCTAAAACCAAGTAAGTCCCAGGCAAACTGAGGCAAGTTGGTCACCCTAGTCCCTATTTTACAAATCAGGAAACTGAGACTTTAGTAACTTCCCCAGAGACACTCAGCCAAAGACGCTCCGCTCATGAAGCTCAGAGCCAGACCTGAACCACCAGGCAAGCCTACTTTTAGACGAGGTTCTCATCAAGGTTAAAGCAAGGGCGAGAACCCAGATCTGGCTTATTCCATAAGTTGACATCAGCAATCCATTTCAAACTTACTCAAACTTTCTCAAACTTACCCGATCGTGAGAATTGGGATGCTTGTTTAAAACACAGATTTCAGGGTCCTACCTAGAAGGGGCCTGAAAATTAGTATTTTTTAAACAAGTATCTGTGTAATCCTTATAATCAGAAGAACCTGGGAAGATTGATTTCATCTATAATTACCCCTCATTTAGGTTTGGTTTTATGTGTTCTGTTCTGTAAATTCATCTATTTTGTGTTTTCATTGCTATGCCATGGTTTATCTTATGTATTAGTGTAAGTTCCTTTGGCTATGCCTAGCTTTGGGTCTGCTGATCTGAGAACAATTCTAACCCTGTCCAAATTGTGCAGATGGGATAATAGGATGCTCCTTAGGGATCAGGTGGTAATAACAGCCATGGTTACAGAGAGCCAGGAAATGGCCAGGCAGGGCTGGGTAAGGAGAAAAATACTTCAGCTACTATAAACTGTAGCTTTCTTTGGCCTACTTGAACCCCTTAGAAAGTCTTAACCTCCCTTGTTAGAAAGGGCAATGTGATGGTTGTGGTTAAAAGTACAGATACTGGAACCAGATTGCTTGGGATTGAAACCCAACACTAGTAACTCCTAGCTATGTGACCTCTGGTGAATTCCTTCCCTCTCTGTGCCTCGTCTATAAAATGGTTTTTTATTTTTTATTGACATGCAGTTGACATACAGTGTTATATTAGTTTTGGGTGTACAGCATAGTGATTCAACAAGTTTATATATTATGCTATGCTCACCACAAGTATAGCCACCCTGTGTCACCATACAATACTACACAATACCGCTGACTATATTCCCTATGCTGATCTTTTATCTTTGTAACTTACTTATTCTATAATTGGAAGCCTGTATCTCCTACTTCCCTTCAGCCATTTTAAGAGGGTTCTTATATTGGTAAAGTCTCTTATAAGTTCTTTCTGGGAATCAAATAGATTAATATTTATAAAATGTCTAGAACTGCTTGGCGCAAGAAACTTCTTTGCAAAAAAAAAAATGGATACCATTAAATTAATGTCTCTAATCCATTTCCATTACATGGAAATTAAGATGTCATAGAAGCAGCATGAAATCATCACCAAAACTAGGAGCGTAGTAGAGGGTAGAGTGGGGTAAGTGGTAAACAGATTGGGTTGTTAAATATTCTCCCGGAAGGGGATGTGCAAACCTTAACATCAAAAGCAGGAGACAGCTTTCCCATTGAGCCAGGCTTAGTTTTCATTCCCTTAAAATTTCCACAGATTAGCACCTAGTTCAGAAGGAAAAAGAATCAAATAACATTATAAGTAACTTAAAATTCATTCATTCATCTACCATGCATTCATTAAACAAATATTTATTGGTGATCATCATTATTATGATGAGCAAGGCTCAAAATAAAACAAATTTCTGCTCTCGTGGAGTGTAGAGATAGACACTAAACAAAAACATAAAGTTACAACACTTAGTAAATTGATAATTATGAAAATATCCACATTAATGAAAACATTTGTACTCGTATTAGCATGATACTTATTATGCTGCTTCTATTTCATACATCTGTCAATTTTAGGTATTTTAATTTTTGTCCAGGCACTACATTCTCATGGTTTATAAATAGAAGCATTATAAAAAGACACGCTATGAAAAATTTTTCAACCTTTCCCTTATCTGCTCCATTGTATGCCTCCTTTTCCTTACATAATAATCAGTCTTGTTAGTAGCTTATTCATTTCCTCTAGAATTCTTTCTTATTCTTATTTCTATAAGCTCTTTGAATAACCCTTTTTAGAAATATACTTGCCAAGGAGTTATCTAGTGAACCCTTAATATTTCAAGTAACAGGGAGCTCAGCATTTTACATTTTTGAGGCAGCCCTGACTGAGAGAGTTCCCTCTTACATAAGGGGAAATCTTTCTGTAGATCTAGTATTCTTTCACTTAAAATATATTGTAATGCCTTCACTCTGATCGGCTCTATTGTGGCTTTTCTCAGTAAATGGCTAAACAACTGTATCTGTTACAGAGCTTTTATGCAACTAGCTTCCCTTACAACTTTTTTTTTTAAACTATTCTTCTAACCACTCACCTTCCTCCCTATCTCTCAGTCATAAGGATATAATAAACATGTATTTTAAAATTTATTTATCAGTTATTTATATTTATTTATCAGTTTTTATTTATCCAGCTAAGTTGAGTCCAGCCTTGTCTTTTCAATGAGGTCCTATACCGTTTCAGTCTGTCCGTATCCTCCATAGATATCCAGACCTGTCGTTTTTCTCCATTGTTCAGTCACTTCAGGATTGATTGGTTCACCAGCACTCACAGTGCTTTAAGCTTTTAAATTTATAGCTTCTCGGAAAACAAGTAAGTTAAATTTAGGAGAAAAAATGGAGAGAAATGAAAATTAAAGTTATTTCTAGGAAATTCAATGTAAAGTGTGTTTTAGTTCCCTCCTTCCTCCCCTCGCCAATATAAAATAAACAAACCATTCTAACATTGTAAGGTGACTCCTAAAACATCCTTTTTTTTCCTACTTTTATTTTTTGAGTGTATGAGTTGTTGCAAAAAAAAAAAAAGCCATGTCACTTCAGGGAAGGTGGTACATGATAACATTTTAAATCAGTGACTAAAAATTTACCAGTTGGGGCATGTGGGTGGCTCAGTAGGTTAAAGCCTCTGGCTTCGGCTCAGGACATGATCTCAGGGTCTTGGGATCAAGCCCCGCATCGGACTCTCTGCTCAGCAGGGAGCCTGCCTTCCCCTCTCCCTCTGCCTGCCTCTCTGCCTACTTGTGATCTCTGTCTGTCAAATAAATAAATAAAATCTTTAAGAAAACAATTTACCAGCTATGTGGTTAAATTGACTGTGGAATATTATGCAATGGAATACTATAGAGCAGTAAAAAAAAAAGAATAAGGAAAACTCGACAGTGCTGTCCAACAGAAATTTTTGCCACAATCAAAGTGTTCTATTATCTGCACTATCCACTGCAGTATCATCTAGCCCTATGTGGCTATTGAGCGCTTGAAGCATAGCTAGTGCAACTTTGGAACTGAATTTTTAATTAATTAAAATTAAATGTAAGGCATGCCTAGGTGGCTTAGTGGGTTAAAGCCTCTGCCTTCGGCTCAGGTCATGATCTCAGGGTCCTGGGATCGAGCCCCGCAATGGACTCTCTGCTCAGCTGGGAGCCTGCTTCCTCCCCCCTCTCTCTACCTGCCTCTCTGCCTACTTGTGATCTCTGTCTGTCAAATAAATAAATAAAATCTTTAAAAAAATTTTTTTAAATTATATTTAAGTAATTACATGGGGCAATATTTACCATATTGGATAGAACTGGATAGCACACAGTTCCAGTATATATTGTTAGGCAAAAAAAGGAAGGTACAGAACCGTGAACATATCATGTTTCCATTTATGTTTTTTGTGTGTTTGTTTTGTTTATTTATTTATTTATTTTTATTTGACAGAGATCACAAGTAGGCAGAGAGGCAGGCAGAGAGAGAGGAAGGGAAGCAGACTCCCTGCGGGGCTTGATGCCAGGACCCTGGGACCATGACCAGAGCTGAAGGCAGAGGCTTTAACTCACTGAGCCAACCAGGCACCCCTCCATTTATGTTTATAAAAGGGTGAGAATACTGGCATATTGGCTTGTGTTTGCACAGATTTCATGGAGAACTGAGACGGAGGACAAGGCTTAGAAAAAGAACTTTCACTCTGTATTTTTACACACCTATTGAATTTTATGTTGTATGAAATACTCCCTATTCAAAAAGTTTTTAAAAATTTTAACAATTCAAAAATATTTACCAATGCATACTTTCAAATGGAATCAGTAATAGAGCAAAAGACATCTATCCTTTCTCCTATTTGCTGGACTAGAGTTCCAAATAGGGGTTATTTTTCTGTTTCTCAGCTCAGGCAACATTGATCATCTAAAAGATTAAACACATTTTATCCATAACCACTGGGCTCCAAAGGGGTACACCCATGGCTGAACCCTCCCTTTCCTCTTCTTGCTTGGGGGAGCCTGCCCTGAACCTAACAATTACAACTTAAAGAATGAGAGCAAGAAGGAAAAGGGGGACAAGAGATTGTTAAACTCCATACCTACCAATGTGGAACTATGTTTTTAGGCAGAAATAGCCTTTATTTTATGACTTCCTTTTCTTCTCTAACCCCACTAAGTGCCTATTTACCAACCTGCTTACCTGGTCATGTCATTCTGTATAAGCATTCGATATGCAGTTGGTGCTGAATGGAAGACTGTGATGGGAAACTTGGAAAGTGTCTGCAATTTAGAAGTAAACTCTTAGTCTTACTACAACTTTAAAAATAAGTCCCTAAATGTTTATGGTAGGCACAGCACAACTTAAACGTTGTTCATTCCAATATAAATGCATTCACACCTTTCCTTTGTATATCTTTTCAGGATAATTGACTTTCCAGGTATGAAATATCTTAAATCATGTTGTTTACTCTGATTTCTGCAAGTAGCTTTATTCATCAGTCCTGTCAGGGACACTGCTAAAGCATTCCTGAATAGTGACCTCTTGTGCCCTGGGCCTTACTTGCAAGAGGAAGTTGGCTCAAAACGTGGCAAATAATGTGCAAATACACATGCTCCCTGGATCCATGGAGAAAAGACACTACTCCATGCTGACTTTGCCCAGCCTGTGTCTGAGGTATTCCACATCACATCTGAAGGAGTCAAATCCAGCCAGAACCTGGGAAAACAAAGAATAGTCCTGATATATATAAGGAAAACAAATTGAAAAGATCAACAAATGAATCATCACCTTTGTAGTTTGACATGTTCAAGCTGGAGTTCTGTGAAGGTACCTTCCATTTACAGATAATCCTAAACTAAAACTGCTATGAGTGTGTCCAGTCATTTTAGGGGATCCACTTGTTCCACTGGTAAAGTAAATGGACATCATCTCATTGTGTCTTGTCTTCACACAGGTGTGGCTGTCACTGGCGCCGTCTGCAAAGGAAGAACTACATTGATTCTGCACGTTGCACGTGGCATCATGAACTCTTACCACAGAAAAGAATTCAAGAAACCATCTACATGGACCTCTTCACCTCATGGATCAGGCCCCGGTGACTTAGGTTGAATTCCAAGGTAAAAGTCATCTCTTTCTCTATTATCTTTGTAGGTGCTTTCTGGAATTAAACTAAGTTTTGTCATCAAAGCCCATTTATAATAGGCTTATAATTGGTTTCATAGCTTTTTACTATGTGATAAAGAAGAGCTAAAGCATTTTAAGAAACTCAAGTGTTTTATCATACCGTCAGCAGAACGAGGAATCTATTATCTTATAATCAAGACTATGTGAGAATGGCCCCTTCCCCTTCACTGTGGATGTTTTCAAGTGATTTTTTTTTAAGGAAGTGAGTATGTGATTAGAAGTCATGGTGATGATATAAGGCAAGATGGTAATTCCCACATTGTTCAAGAATCGGATGTAGATCCAATGGATAACTGGGCTGTTAATAGGTCATACATTAGGGCACCTGAGAGGAGGTAAGCTCTGTACATACAGTGCCTAAAAAGCATAGAGATTTTATCTAGGAGTATTGGGCTGAGAATGAAACATTAGAATTAGAAACATCCAGGGGCACCTGGGAGGCTCAGTGGATTAAAGCCTCTGCCTTTGGTTCAGGTCATGATCTCAGGGTCCTGGAATCAAGCCCTGCATTGTGCTCTCTTCTCAGTGTGGAATCTGCTTCCCCCTCTCTCTCTGCCTGCCTCTCTGCCTACTTGTGATCTCTGTCTGTCAAATAAATAAATAAAATCCTAAAAAAAAAAAAAAGAATTAGAAACATCCAGGGGTGCCTGGGTGGCTCAGTCGTTGGGCATCTGCCCTCAGCTCGGGTCATGATCCCAGGGTCCTGGGATTGGGCCCCGCATTGGGCTCCCTGCTTAGCAGGAAACCTGCTTCTCCTTCTCCCACTACCCCTGCTTGTGTTCCTTCTCTCGCTGTTTTTCTGCCAAATAAATAAATAAAATATCTTAAAAAAAAAAAGGAAGAAACATCCAGGCTACAAGAATTATAGAAAAGTTGTTTTAAAAGCCTAATGAAGCTAGACTAAGTGTTTAGTCTATGATTCCATAATTTCTTCCTTAAAAATAGTACCTATAGCTGTGTACCTCTCATTTCTATAGAAACCTAAGGTGGGGTTATCATACCAATTTCACCACTAGAGGCTATAAATGTAGCAGTTAGGAGTATGGCCTCAGGTGCCAGACTCCCTGGGTTCGAAACCCACCTCTGCCAAATCCTAGCATTTGGCCTTATTCATGTGTATTACTGTAGTACCCCTTCTTAAGTTATTGTGACACGTAAATGAGTTAATATATGTGAAATGCTTGGAACAGTTTTTGGCACATAACCAAAGCCATATAAATGTTACCCAAGTTGCAAGTATAACATTTTTAATTAGAACAGTACTTGGCAGAGGGGGTATAGCTCAGTGGTAGAGCATTTGGTAAAAACTTTTGGTAAAAACTCAGTAAATGTTAGCTATTTTAGAGGAGGTAGGAATAAGTATGTAGTCGCAAATATACTCCCAATTCCTTGGGTAAAGGTGGGAAGCTCATTCTAGAGAGGGAACTGGCTGCCAACCTAAAGCTAAGATAGAACCAATACTGGGCGAGAGTGCTAAATGACCCCTGGAAGCATTCCACAGAAGGGACTGAACATCAGTGTAACTTAGTTTTATAAGAGCATCCATTAACATTAAGTGTTCTTGTTTATAACCTGAAGTGTTGGTATCTGCAAGGAAATGATATAGCCTAGGCATAAGAATTGATTATGATCAGTTTCTCTGGGTGACGATAACAGCTCTGTGTTGGTGCTGTGAACGCACCGCCTAGATTCACTGCAGGAATGAAGGACTTACTCCCCACAGCTGCTGGGAGCCCTATTCAGAGATAGCTTTGGCTGAAGAGAGCTGCCTCGCTCAAGGTCATCCCTTCCTTCTAGGGAAAGCACACACTCAGTTACTGATCAGTAATGGTATATAAAGGCCAGGACCTTTTGCTCTATCTTGGAACAGCTTTGAAGGACTATCCAAGCCCCAGAGGTTCCAGTGGATTAGCGGAAGGTTTTTCTGGGAGTGCATGGCAGATAAATTTCTTCTTTTGCTCAGTCCCCCTCCTTGCCCTTCTTTCACAGATGTTGACCCGAAGACAAATCCTTAATAAACTTCTTACACAACCGATCTCTGTCTCAGGGCCTGCTTCCTTCAAGATCCTAACATACAAAAACCACTCCAAGCTCCTGCCTGCTTCAGAGCTTTGCAGATTATTAGTGCAGGAGTAATCACCAGTTGTTCCCTTTGCCTCGTTTTAATTTTCATTTTTCTGATCACTTGTGGGTTGAATACCTTTTCAATTGTTGCCTTTCTTTCTGGGGAAGCTGTTCTATAACAGTTATGGCCACTCACTTCATCATCTCCTTGAGGTTCCCCCACCCGTCTTTGGGTTTCTGAGACACAATTAGCTTGGAGTGCAGATTTTCACATTTAGATGCAACAGCATCTACTGCTGGGGCTAAAACTTCGTTGGTAATAATGCACTTGGCTTTTGAAGATTGCAGTCTGTAGAGAATGTCTTTCTGGGTCAGCTGAGTGGTTCCTGGAATTAAAACTGTCCCTGAAGGAGCAGAAGAAAACAACATATAGAAGGAAGGATTTTCTTTATCATGTTAGTTACTGTACTATAGATCGCTCCTGTGTCCTCTATGTGTCTCAGAATGAGTTTGCCATTCAATTTACCAGTCTAGGTATCTATTTGCCTTCCTTTCATTATTCTGTTTTTGCCTTTCAAAGCATCTCAATATCTGTGTCCCTTTTGACCGGACATGAAAGCATGTTAAATGCTGGCTAATTTTCTTCCATCTGAAGACCAGTCATAACGTTCAGCTTGAAGACAGGGTTTTTTTTTTCTTTTTTTTTTAAAGACAGTTTTGATTGAAGAGTTATATTATCCAATATTTATTGGCTAAATGCCAGATGCTAGTGTAAGTGCTTTGCACGTTTTAACTTATTTAATCCCTACAAAAAAAAACCCATAAAATCTATGAATAATTTGCCAAAGATCACTGGAGTAGAAAGCGGCAGTGCAGGGATTGAATTCTGTAGCCCGACCCCACAGCTGTACACATAACTACTTCAGTCCAGCTCCTTTTAAAACGTACATAAATGTTTTATGATTTCTTTCCAAAGGGAGAGATTGAGGCATTCATCTTTTCAGTGCTTCTGCTTCTCCCTGCTGTAAATTACACTGTAAGTGTAGGATAATTGTTAAGAGTCTGTCCTGCAGCCAAACAGTCTGACAGGTTGGCCTTGGAAAAGCCACTTCATCTCCATGAGTCTCAGGTTCTACATCGTCTAATGGGGATTCTGTAAGATTAATGAGGAGTAAATGAGTTAAAATGTGTAAAGAGTGCTGAATAAATTTTAACTATTATTTTCTCAAAGGATTATTGGAATTTCAAGAATGTATCTGGATCTGTATCTATAGTTATATGTATCCATATCTGTATCTCGGGCTCTACCACTCTCAAGTCCAGACCGTAGAGAGAGGGGTGGAAGTTAATCACTGCACAGTGGTGTTTACTCTTCCCAGCATCACAGCAGGAATGGAAGATTGAAGAACATGTACCTGCTCATTCCTGGACTCTTGACACTGGCTTATCTTTCCCTTTGGGGAAAGACAGTCCCCTCCAGTGGAGATCTTCAGGAAATAGACAACAAGGACCAAAACCCAAAGTTCTTCAGAATATCTTTCTTTTCTAATCAGGCAATGCAGCATTGTTTATGAGTCTTCAACTCCAAGGTCATTCCTTAGAGATGATCCATCTGGGGGTAATTAATTAGCCCACTGTGGCCTAATAGTTTTCTATAATTTAAAGGCACTCTGTAAGAACAAACCCACTGCCAGCGTTTCATGCCTAGCAGAAGCGCTTTATTTAAACACATCACCCTTAGATAATTAATTCCTGCTAATACATTATTCATATTCTATCTTTAAAGAACCTATTAATAGTGATCAGTCTTACCTATTAAAACTACTTCCTGTCCAAATTAGTCATTTAGGGAAACATTACATTGTCTCTTGCCAGGGAACAAAATGTTACTTTAAATCTTAGTGGGGGGACATCGCTTCTTGGCCTTTCGGCTAAGATCAAGTGTAAATCTTGGGGAAGGCCTCTTATTACCATGTTGATGATATAGGGTGTACAAAGTGATATTACCAATATGTACATTTGCATGAAGGGTCAAAAGACTCTGATACTAGTAGTCCCTTCTCACCCTGTTAACAGATCTACATGAAAAGACAGAGTTTTCCCAGAAGTTTGTTTGGTGGATGAGAAAAGTAACTTTTGTGATTCAATTTGGCAACAGGATTTGAAAGCCTAGCCTATCCACCCATCCATCTAGATGGTAGATAATGCTTATTTTCAGCATTGTTAGTATATTAGATTTACCATTTACTGTCTCCCTTTCATTCTCCCTTCCAAGAGAATCTGCCTTCCTTTCTGCAGCCCCAATAACTATGTTTGCATCAGATGCACCTGCCTCTGACCACATCTGACTGGCCCAACCCAAGCCATGCCAGTCAGATTCTGCCTCAAGTATTTCATTTAAGAGACTGAGTAGATTGAGACATACAGTTAGGGGCTAAGGCATCTGTGTAGCAAACCAAGCCACATGTCAGGGAAAATGAAGGGGAGCAAAGAAATCATGTGTTAGTAGAAAGAAGTCAAAGGAACAGATGCTTAAGGGATACAGAGACAGGAGGCGCTATGGCTTCAAAGCAAAAGAAATGGAGAAAGAAGCCAGTTGCTCTGTCTGTACTTTTTGTCCCCTGTAGATCCTTCCGTAGATGTTCAATAATTTTCCTTCCTTACTGAACTAATATAAATGGATTTCTGCTCCTGGAAGTCCAACATGTTGCCCCTTTCGTAAGACAGTGAGCTTAAGCAGCATTCGTGAAAGCTATCACTTTGTTTCAAGGAAAAAAAAAAACTGTTAAAAGTGGGCTCTGCTACTCTAGTGTACAATTCATTGGTACATCTGATATGAGAACATGTAACTCCCAAATGCAAGTAATTATGATGAATTAAGAATGTTTACTCAATATAATTATTTATTAAAACAGTAGGGATATTAATTAATTCAACAAATATTTTACCGAGCATTTACTATATGCCGGCAATTGAAGGTAAAGACATGACTATCTTAGTCATTGGCTTTTAGGAACATACATAGTCCTAGGGGAATGACAAATTTATTCCAAATAGACACTCAGACACTACAGTACAAGTTAAAATAGAAACATATACATGTTTTCTAGGGGATGTCAAAAAAGAAAGCACCTGAATTGGGACATCAGGGTAGGGTTGCCTGAGAAGTGACATTAGAGTTGAGACCTGAAAATCTAATAGAAGTTGTCCAGGTGGTTAGGTGTGAGGGAAAGGCTTTCCAAGCACAGGAAATAGTATGCACAAAATCTAGGAAAAGAGAAAGATCATGAACGTTATAGGAAACCATTTGATATGGCTGGGGCAGAGAGTATGAAAACAATGAAGGGAGGAGATCAAACCTTCCGTGACACACCTAAAGAAGTTCTGATTTTACATAGTAGGCAATGGAGAATTATTAAATAACATCAAGCAGCATATTGACAGGATAAAATATGCATTCTAGAAAGAACGCTAGCTATAGAGGATGAATTGGATTGGAGTAAGGTGTGGGCACACATAAGATCAGAAATAGGGAGACTTTTGGGCAGATCCATTCAGGAGATGCCAAATGTGTGAACTAAAGCAATGGCAATGGGATTGGAGAAGAAGGAGGACTCTGGGGACATGTAGGAAGTCAGAGTTACAAGATGTAGGAAGTGATTTGGAAGGAGGAGGAGCAGCTGCTTGCTTTGGGCACCAGATAAATGGCAATTAACCATGAGAGAAATAAAGGCATGAAATAAGAACTTTGAGTTTGTGGCTGCATTGAGTTTCAGATGACAGTGGGTCTATAGAAGGAAAACAGTGGTAGGTATGAGGGTATTCCATTGTTGATTGGCATTTGGTTAATAAACCTATTTCATTATGAAAAACCTAACTCATAGTTTAGGTCAAAAGATATGGTGTGTTTCCAACACATTTCTAAGGTTCCTGAGAAGAATACTATTATTGTATACAGTTCCTCAAATAATTTATCCAAATAAATGTCTCATGATTACTTAAAGTTTTGGTAGATCTCCCATCCAGTCTACTTTAAATGTAATCAGATTTCAAACACTACTAACCTGTTCACAGACAGGCTACATTTGCAAGCCACCATTCTGGGATCTTGGGAAGAATCACAATTACTCTATCTCCTCTTTGCAGGGAACAGGCTTCTGTAAGCATATTGCAAATTTCCTAGACAAAAATCCCAGTTCCTCAAAACTCCATCTCACTTCTCCATTTCCACTTATCCACCAGAAGGCTGGATTGGAAGGTCTCTTTCCAGCCTGAGGAAAGGCAAATCAGATGATTTAAAGCTCTTGATGCAGCTTAATTCTATTTTAACTGACTCAGTGGAATATTTTCTCAGAAGAAAATTCATAGGTCTTTAGTTAGATCACATGGGGAAATTTGGAAATAACTCTGGGGTCTTCATTTCTAGCTGTCAGGAGCCAGGTTTTTTTTTTTTTCTAAAGATTTTATTGATTTATTTGACAGAGAGAGAGATCACAAGTAGGCAAAGGAGGGGTGGGGGGAAGTAGGCTCCCCACTGAGTGGATAGCCTGATGCAGGGCTTGATCCCAGGACTCAATCCCAGGACCCTGAGGTCATGACCTGAGCTGAAGGCAGAGGTTTAACCCACTGAGCCACATAGGCACCCCTGTCAGAAGCCATGCTATTTTTCATTTAGCCTGACTGTTTTTCTTTCCAAAAAGTTAGAATTCTTGCATCCTTTTATGTTCTCTCATTGCTATATCTATACCTCATTCCCTACCATTTCTGACCATTTTTGACCTTCATACTACTACTTTTTGGTATTTTTAAGAAGTTAACCTATAGGGGTGCCTGGGTGGCTCAGTGGGTTAAAGCCTCTGCCTTTGGCTCAGGTCATGATCTCAGGGTCCTGGGATCAAGTCTCACATCGGGCTCTCTGCTCAGCAGGAAGCCTGCTTCCTCCCTCTCTCTCTGCCTGCCTCTCTGCCTACTTGTGATTTCTGTCTGTCAAATAAATAAATAAAATCTTAAAAAAAAAGAAGTTAACTTATAATCATACATTTTTATAAACCAGGCTTTCTCAACTATGAAACTATTAACATGTTGAGCCACATAATTTTTTGCTATGGGGGACTGTCCTGTGTATTAGAGGATACATAGCAGCATCCCTGGCCAAAATTGTTTCCAGACATTCGCCCTGGGGGCAAAATCACCTCTATCTGAGAAACTGTAGTTGGACTGGCCCTTGTTCCTTACCTTGTCCACATTGGTTCATTCGTCCAGGACATCTTTAGCAAAGTTGAAATACTCTGGAATCTCCAGTCTGAATTCCTGTTTCATAGATTCATAATTGGAAAAATTCTGAGGTGAAACTGTTCTGTAATCTTTATGTAGTACTCTCACAGAACCAGGGATTGCGAGGTGCTGAAAACACTTGGCACGAAATAATGTCTCCATGGTGACAAGAGCTAGCATCAGTCTTGCTGGATGTGTTAGCACTCAGGATTTCCACAGAAACCGGTTCATCTAAAAGACAAGCTAATGAACATGCGTTTGTCTCTGTCCTAAAGGTAGCCATACCACAAAGTAGCTAAGTTATATTATTATTATTATTTATAATCATCATACAAGTGCCATTCTCTGAGCACTCAATATGTTTCGAACACTGTACTCAGTGCTTTACTTACATATGAATTATAGTAAATTTTCAGAGTAACTCTGTGCAGTGGATATTATCATCTCTGTTTACAGATAGAAAAAATTACTAAGAGGCTGTCTTAGTGAACTCTGGCCACCATAAGAAAATACTATAGACAGGCTGGTCAAAACAACATTTATTTCTCACAGTTCTGGAAGCTGAGAAGTCCAAGATCAAGTGCTAGCCAATTCAGTTCCCCCGTATGGGCTCTGTTCCTGACTTGCAGATGACCACTTTGTCTTTATGTACTCACATGGTAGAGAGAGTGAGAGCTCTGGTTTTTCTTCTTCTTCTATTAAGATACTAAGCCCATCATTGGGGCCTCACCCTTATGACCTCATCTAAACCTAATTATCTCCCAACGACCCCACCTCCAAATACCATCACATTTTGGGGGTTAAGTTTTCAACATATGAATTTGGAGAGAGGCACAAACATTCAGTACACAACAAAGGCACTAGCTGGATTTGAACCTAGAGCTGTCTGGTCCCAGCCCATTTTCCTGACTATGTACTGCATGCTATTGTCTCCCATATGCATTTCGAAAGAAGTAAAGATCTGAGTCACCCAGTTACTCCCAGTGAAAGCAAAGATATCTAATATATTTCACCTGCATTTCAAAAGTTATAGAGACATGTTAAGGAGAAATTTCCACAGTGGATAATCCATAAGTGAAGAAATAGAGTAACCTAGTACCAATTAGGCATGAAAGAACTATCAAAAATCGTTTAGTTTATAGGCTGTAGTTCCCATGCTCCCAATAGGAGCCCACACAACCTTCAAGTCCAGACTTGGAGCTGTGTTTACCAGAGATGTCATCATAGGTCTTTAACCTTTGGGACTTTTGTGGGGAAGGACCCTTCAGGCCACCTAGCCCTCCCTGTTTCTGTGGGAATTCATCTGATCATGATGTCATTTACCTGGCTGAGATCTCATAAACAAGGTTGTTAAAAACATGGTTCTAGAGATGATAGGGTTCCTCTTCATACTTTCTGTAATTTTCCAAATTTCCTACAATGAAATACTACTCTCACAATCATTAAATCATTTTTTTATAGAGGGAGGGGCAGAGGGAAGGGAGAGAGAGAATCTTAAGCAGGCCTCACTCATGGAGCCTAATGCAGGGATGGATCTCACAACCCTAAGATCCTGACCTAAGCCGACACTTAACCAACTGAGCCACCCAGGCACCCTATCATTAAGTCGTTTTTAACTGCAGCTCTAGCTGTGCAGTATGTAAGGCAGCGTGGCTATGTGGAAGAGTTTCTGTATTGATGCATTGCCAAATAATGGATATCATCCCTAAGTTTAATCCTAAATGGGCCTGGTGTTTAGGCATCATGTTGCTGCACCCAGTGCACTGGGATATCTAGGTACTTCTGACCCTCCCACATCTTTATGTGACGACCTGACAAGTCACTGAGCTTGAGTCCTCTGAGATCATCTGGTTTGAGCTCCTCATTTTTCAGAAAGAAAATGGAACCCCAGAGAGGGGTTCATTTCAATAGGTCATGTCAGAATGAGAACTAGAACTCATGTCTGTGGATTCCCATTTCAGTGTTCTCTTTATTGAACATTTCAGTGTTCAATAGGATTCAGTAGAACATTGATTCTCAACTCTGGATGTATATTTAAATCACCAGGAAAGCTTTTTTTTTTTTTTTTTAATACCAATGCCTGGGGCTTAGACCAATTAAATCAAAATCTCTAGGGGTGGGGAGCCAGGGCATCATATTTTTAAAAATTTCCTCAGAGGATGCTAATGTGCAATCAAGGTTGAGAATCACTGATCCAGAGGTGATCTGTGAGCCAGCAGATCAGCATCACCTGGAAGCTGGTGAGAAATGTACATTCTTGGGCACCTGGATGGCTCAGTCGTTAAGCCTCTGCCTTTGGCTCAGGTCATGATCTCAGGGTCCTGGATAGAGCCCCACATCAGGCTCCTGCTCGGCGGGAAGCCTGCTTCTCCCTCTGCCCCTCCTCCTGCTTGTGCACACTCTCTCCCTCTCTCTCAAATAAATAAATAAATAAATAACTTTTAAAATATTTATTTGACAGAGAAAGATGCAGTGAGAGAGGGAACACAAGCCGAGGGAGTGGGAGAGAGAGAAGCAGGCTTCCCACTGAGAAGGGAACCTCTATCAGAGAGTTGTCACAAAGATTAAATGAGATAATGCATGCAAAGTGCTTATCATGGTGTCTTGCCTATTACTACCCACCCACTGGAGTAGGGGTCAGCAAACATTTTCTGTAACAGTCCAGATAGTAAATATGGCTCCCATCTCTAAATCTCTAAAAATCCAGAGACCATATGGTCTCTGTGGCAACAGTTTACCTCAACTCTGGTTGAGATAGCAGCCACTGATAGACAATACATGACTAAATGGGCATGGCTGTGTTCCAAACAAAACCCATTTGTGGATATTAAAACTTGAACTTCATGCAATTTTCTTTTTTTTTTTTTAAGATTTATTTATTTGAGAGAGAGAGAAAGCACATGCAGGGAATATTCAGACCCCAGAACCCACACTCCTTGGCTCATGGCCCCTTCCTTCGACAAAGCTGGCAATCCCATCGCTCGGAACGCGGCTTCCATTGTGCATCTGCTTCTTTGATTCCGGCTTTCCTGTCTCCCTCCTCCCTCCTGTGAGGAGGCATCTCAAGTTCAGATGATAACAGCCTCGCTTCCATCTGTAGTCTCAGTCCCTTCTGCGTGACATAGCGTGTCCCCCTGCTGCTTTCGTTCACTGCGCCAATGACTAACAGGCTGTAGAGGGCCTGTTAACACTTGTGTGACAAACAACACTGTGTGTTATCGAATGCCTGCATCTGTCTACACTTAAAGACGCCCTCCCGCTTACCTTTGTTCTTAAACTATAATGGAGGTCTACTTTACAAATAGCCAATGTTCAAAGACAAAGCTGGTTGTACCTTTTTTTTTTAAGCTTTTATTTATTTATTTGACAGACAGAGATCACAAATAGGCAAAGAGGCAGACAGAGAGAGCGGGGGAAGCAGGCTCCCTACTGAGCAGAGAGCCCAATGTGGGGCTCGATACCAGGACCCTGAGATCATGACCTGAGTTGAAGGCAGAGGCTTGACCCACTGAGCCACCCATGTGCCCCTGGTTTTACCTTTTATAGATCTGAGACCTTATTATTTGCTCAGGGAAGGAAAGGAAAGGGAAGGGATGTTTGCTTAAATTTGACTTATGTTCTAGTATCTTCTATACAAGGAATGGATATTATCCCTGAAATGGTATTTTCTTTACAAAAGAAAAGTGAAATACTTTTCAAATGCATGCTCCTTTGTTTCCTATCCCTAATGCATAGATGGGCATTAAAATTGTTTGGTGTATTTTTAAGACGTTGCTCTATTTATAACACCGTCCTAATGGGTGGACTAAATCTTTAGAATCCTCATTATTCTACAGCCAGAAGAGTGTTATGGGACAACTTATGCCAGACAGCATGGCAGGGCT